CACTGCCAGAGGGCAGGGAGAGATGGGATATTGGGAAGGAATTGTTGTGAGAGTGAGGAGGCCCTGGCCCAGGTTGCCCAGAGAAGCTGTGGTTGCCCCTGGATCTCTGGAAGTGTCCAAGACCAGGTTGGACGGGGCTTGGAGCAACCTGGGCTAGTGGGAGGTGTCCCTGCCCATGGGAGGGGGTGCATCTGAATGGGCTTTAAGGTCCTTCTGACTCAAAGCATTCCATTATTCTATGATTTAGGGGCCCCCAACGCCCTGCACAGGTCCTGGCAAGGGGGGGAAGGTCTGACAGGACAGCTGTGACCCCCTAGATCTCTACCAGCAGCAGCCCATTCTGCACTGGGTGATGCTGGGGCGCTGCTGTGAAGGAGTCCCTTCCTCTGCCCATCCCTACCAGCTCTACAGCCTGATCTGGGTGCACTGGGGGCTACGTGGGTGTGAAACACCGTAAGAGGGACAAGGGTGGGGGAAATGTGTGTGCTGGGTGACCCTGGGGTCCTCACCGAGCTCCTGCAGAGCTGCCTGCTTCACCTCCAGCTCCTCCTTCAGGGTGGAGAGTCGCTCCTCCAGCAGAGCTGCTCCTAAATCAGCATAAAAAAACCCTCCAATTAATCAGTTCCTCAAAAAAACTGAAGTGAAGCAGAAAACAGCCCCACCAAAATTTTTTCATCCAGTGATTGTGTTGTGCTGCAGCAGGGAGGAGGCAGTGACAGGACATGGACAACCAGCTCCTGCTGCCTGGGATTATCCTCAGACCAGGGAAAATCCCCCAGCACCAACAAAAATCCATGGCAAAAGCCCTGCTCCTGGTGGTGGGGCCCAAATTTGCCCATGAACTCTGTGCTTCTCCTGCACATACCCCCAGGCCTGGGAGAGAATGCTGGGAACAGCTCTGTACCTCTCCTTAGATCATCCTTATCCTGCTGCAGCCTGGCCACAGCCTCCGAATGCTCCTTGTCCTTGGCTTTCAGGCTCTGCTCTGCCTTCCTCTGCTGCTGCACTTGGGTCTCCCTCTCCGCCTGCAGCTTCCGGGAAAAGTCCTCCACCTGTTTCCTCAGCTCCTCCTTCTGTTTCCCCATCTCTTCCAGCTCAGCCTTCACCGGGTTCAGCTGCTGCAGCAGCTCCTGGAGGTGTTTGTTGATCCGGGAGAGATCCTTGCTCTGCTCCGTGGCCCAGTAGCTCAGGTCTGTCGCAGAGAGGCTCCTTCTCCCCGTGCTGTCCTCCAGCACCCCCTGGAATTTGCTGAGGGCCGAGGGGATGTTCTGGCTCTGGCAGAGGCTGGTGATGGCTCTGCCCACCTCCCGCAGGCTGGCCTGGGCGCTGGAGCAGCTGTCACAGGAGCGCGGGGGGCACCTCGAGGTCTGTGTGGGGACACTGCGGGTGCCCTGGGCCAGGCTGGGGCCAGCCCTGGGCTGGGAGCTCCCCGAACTGCCCAGAGAGTGAGGAGGAGATTGCTGTGTGGGGATCTCCTTCCTGCAATCCTTGTCCTGAGGGAGAGAGCACAGAACAGGACCAGTGCCCAGATAGAACTGGAAACGATCCATAAGAGCCCAAATCCGAGGTGTGAGCTGTGGGAATGGGACAGCAGTGCAGCCAAGGGACAGTGACCAAGGGGTGGCCTCAGCAGCAGAAGCTGCTCCCCACCTCCCCTTCTTGTGACCATCCCTTCTTTCCCACCCCCTGTGCTGTCTCCTGGGTGTGCCACATGGGTTATTGTGAGACTTCTCCATAAGAAAGAACTTTTTGGGGAAAATAAAATGCAGGGGAGGGACGCGGTGTTTTTACCACCAGTTATTTCACAGATTTGAAGCAACTCAGCCCCTCAGTGGGGTCGGCAGAACTGCAGCATTTTGGCAGGAGGAGAATATTTTCCAAGCTATAGAGGCAGCCAAGGTCACCCATCCCAAGATCCTGGTGGAGGATGGATCCAGCAGCACGGCTGGGAGTAGGGGAGGGAAGGGACTTGGGCGGGGAGGGGACAGTGTGGGACAGATGTGACACACAGGTCAGCACTCAAAGGGTTGGAGCACAGGATGTCCCAGAGAAGGACCACGGTCCAAATCCCGGGGGGGGTGACCCCAAATGTCCCACCTGGTGCTGGAGCTGCTGGCAGAAGGCCCCCAGTCTCAGCATGGTGCTCCAGAACCTCCTGGCCGTGAGCCCCGCGGACATGCAGGGCCCCGGGCCCCGCGCCGGCGGCACCGCGCGCCCGCACAGCACCATCTCCGCGTAGCCCGTGAAGCTCTGCAGCAGCAGCAGGAGCCTGTCCCGGCAGGAGAACACGCCTTGGAGCCACAGGGATCAGGAATGGGAGGCAGGAGAGGTTGCTGGCCCCCTCCCCATCCCCTGCACAAAGCCAGTGAGGCGCAGGAGGGTGGGATTGGTGCCCCCGGGACCTCCCCCCCCGGCCGAGATCACTGCATGGAGCAGCATTTGGTGGGATCAAAGTCAGGCTGTGCACACTGGCTCTGATTAGGCTCTCTCTAAAGTTTTGGGGCACCAATCCTAATTTTTAGGGCCAGCAGCTGTGAGGGAATGGCTCATCTTTTGAACCAGGGCTGTATTTATTGCACCCAGACTGCAGGAGGGGCTTTGCCCTCCCAGGGCTGTCAGTGTAGCTGTGCCCGAGTGTTTCCAAGGTTTTGGGAGGCAGGTTAACAAGCCTGTCCCATCTGCCCAGGTGCCCTCAGCTCCCAGCTGGAGCAGTGGCTGGCTCTGCTCCTTTGTGGCCAGTTTGGAGCTCTGAGCAGGGAGAGGAGTTGGGTTTTAAAGCTCAGGGTTGAGCTGCACGGCATGAGGGTGAAGTGCTGAGATGCTGGCACTGCTTATCATGGAAATATGTGGGAGAAAGCGTCCAAAAGACTTCATAGAATTATGGAATATCCCAGTTGGAAGGGACCCACAAGGATCATCCAGTCCAACTCCTGGCCCTGCACAGACACCCCAACAATCCCACCCTGGCCCTCAGAGTGTTGTCCAAACCCTCCTGGAGCTCTGGCAGCCTTGGGGCTGTGCCCACTGCCCTGGGGAGCCTGGGCAGTGCCCAACCAGCCTCTGGGGGAAGAACCTTTGCCTGAGATCCAACCTGAGCCTGCCCTGACACAGCTCCAGCCATTCCCTGGGTCCTGTCACAGGTCAAACACAGCAGAGCTCAGTGCCTGCCCCTCATGAGGAAGCTGCAGACCCTGGTGAGCTCTGACCTCAGTCTCCTCCAGCTGAACAAGCCAAGTGCCCTCACCCTCAGCTTCTCCTCAAGGCCCTTCACCATCCTCCCAGCCCTCCTTTGGACACAGCTTTATGTCCTTATTGTACCGAGGTGCCCAAAGCTGCCCCAGGGACTTGGCTGAGCTCCGCAGGTTGGACCCGCACCCCCTTTCCCTCTGGGGTGCTCAGGGCTGTCTCACCTGTCTATGAGCAGCTCCAGCAGCACCACATGTGAGTGCTGGCTGAACTCGGGCTCGCTCTCGCTGTGCCTGTACCGCTGCAGCAGCAGCGACATGTCCAGGTCGCAGGACACCTTGTCGGGGAACTTCCATGACGGGAAGCGCACGGCGCCGGCCCGGGAGGTCACGTCGGCAATGGCAGCCTGCAGGTCCTGCAGGTCGGCCCGCAGGCTCTCCATGCAGCCGCGGTGGCCCAGGAGGTGCGCCATGGTGGGCGGTGGGACACGGGCTGGGAACCACGGGGCCACCAGGCCAGGGTGCTGAGGGGGCACCGGGTGTGGGATGGAGGGAACGCCCTACCGGGACAGCCCGCTGGAGAGGGACCGGCACGGTGGTACCGGGCGCGGGGGGCTTCAGGAGGGCGGGGGAAGCAGAGGGAACTGGGAGGAACCGGGAGGAAACAGGGTGAACGGTGGGGAGAAGGGGCCGGGCCGGGCTAGGCCGCGGCGTCCCGGCCCAGGCCGCGGCGTCCCGGCCCTGTTGCCATGGTAACCTCCCCCCCGCCCCGCAGTGGTACGCGCCTGCTCTGTGTGGGCTCCCCCCGCGGGAGCCGCCGTACCATGAGCGGCCCACGGCGCGCGCGCGCTGTGTCGTCTCCCCCCTACGCCCCGGCACTGTGCGCCCCCTGGCGGCCGCGCGTCACTTCCGCTGCGCACGCGCAGCGCGGGGCCCGCGGCCGCCATTTCGCCCGTGTCGGTGCCGGTGTCGCGACAGGGCCTGGACGGTCCCGGCAGATCCCGCTCGGCTCCCGACCCTGATCGATCCTCGGCTGTCCCTGATCGGCCCCGCGGGGAAGCGCCCCTGCCTTGCCCAGCAGCACCATGCCGGCCGGACCCGTGCAGGCCGTGCCGCCGGCGCAGCCCGCGCCCCCCGCCGAGAGCAAACCGGTGCGGGAATGGGGAGCTGTGAGGGGATGGGGGGCCGTGAGAGGATGGGGTGTGGGGGCGTAAAACGGGGCGGACCGCGGGTGTTTCGGGTCTGGCCTCTCGCGCTGACCCCTCGGTGCGGGTGTGGGGGAGGCGGGAGTTCTGCCCTGTGCGTGGCTGGTTCGGAGGGGATTGACGCCCCCCGAGCCCTCAGGTGAGACACCTCCTGCAGAGCTGCCTCCAGCTCTGGGATCCCAGCACAGGGAGGACGTGGAGCTGCTGGAGCGAGTCCAGAGGAGGCCACGGAGATGCTCCAAGGGCTGGAGCCCCTCTGCTCTGGAGCCAGGCTGGGAGAGCTGGGGGGGTTCACCTGGACAAGAGAAGGCTCCAGGGAAACCTGAGAGCCCCTTCCAGGGCCTAAAGGAGCTCCAGGAGAGCTGGAGAGGGACTGGGGACAAGGGATGGAGGGACAGGACACAGGGAATGGCTTCCCAGTGCCAGAGGGCAGGGATAGATGGGAGATTGGGAAGGAATTGTTGGCTGTGAGAGTGGAGAGGCCCTGCCCAAAGAAGCTGTGGCTGCCCCTGGATCCCTGGAAGTGTCCAAGGCCAGGTTGGACAGAGCTTGGAGCAACGTGGGGTAGTGGAAGGTGTCCCTGCCCATGGCAGGGGGTGGGATGAGATGGGCTTTAAAGTCCCTTCCAACCCAAAGCATTCCAGGATTCCTCACCAGGCAGCTCCGTCCTGCTGGGCCGGGTGGGTGCTGAGCCCTCTCCTGGCAGTGCCCCAGGGCTGTGATTGTGATGGGTGTGGAGGGTCACCAACAGCTCTGGGAGCAGCCCATGGAAGGATTAAATGTCCAAGGGAGCATGGCATTCCTGTGTGTCCCAGTAGTCTCCTGGATCCTTTCTGTCTTGTCCTTATTCGTATCCTTCCCACCTTTCCTGAAATGGGAATACAGCTCCCATGCAGCTGGAGCTGCTGTCCCAACCCTCACACAGCAGCATCAGCCCTCGTGGAGATGGAGAGGGAGCTGATCCCACTGAAAACCTTGGGTGATTGGGCGTATTAACACATTCAGGAGGAAAATTGTGGCTTCCCCCCCCAAAAAAACTCCTGAGTTTCATGCACAGACGTTACCAAGGCAACTCAGCATCTCAAGTGTGGTGCTGCCTGATCCTTCAGCTCCTCAGGATCATGTTCTGAGGGAGTGGGAATGAAACCTAAAAATATTCATGGTACCCTTCTCTTTAAACACTTTTATCAAGGTCATATTTCATGGAATCATGGAATGGGTTGGGTGGGAAAGGACCTTAAAGCCCATCCAGTCCCACCCCCTGCCATGGGCAGGGACACCTTCTGCTATCCCAGGTTGCTCCAAGCCCCATCCAGCCTGGCCCTGGATACTCCCAGGGATCAGTTTGACTTGGGATTGTTTTTCCCCTTGGAGTCCCTATAGATTTGGCAGAGCTGGGAGCTTTACTGGGATTTTAAGTTTTCCCTGACTGTCCCTGCTAGGATTATAAAAGTTTCCCATAGACCTGTTCTGATTTATAACAGCTTTTCTTGGAAAGCTGCTTGGTGAGGGAAGGAGTAACATCTTTAGTATCCTGCAAAGATCAGCCTCTGGTTTTACTGGAATAGAAAGCCATCCACAGGGAGGGTTCTGGGATTTTAGTTTGGATCCTCCTGTAATATCAGTGAGAAAAACACCCTGCAGAGCTTTTCTCTATGAAACAGCTTTTGATGCAAACATAGTAGGATTAAAAGCTGTGTTTTATTTAACGTGGACTTAATCACTCAGGTTTTACTTCCTTATAGTCCCACACACCTCTAGGAATATTCAGAACTTCCACACCTGGTTAGGAATGCTGAAATATTCCAGGATGTGTTGTTAGAGCCCCTTTAAATATTTGCGAAGCTACTCAGGGTTGAGGCTGAGATGGTAAAAATGCCCTGAGGAATTGTTTTGATTTCCACAGGAGGGCCTCCCTTGTTGTCCCCCTGTCCCTGTCCCTGCAGTGGGTGCCCCTGACAGGCAGACAAATGTCTCCCACCCTGAAAAACCAAGGAATTAATTAGTGGGATGGATGGTTCAGGCTGTTCAGCCAGATCTTGTGTCAGGAAGAATTCAGTGCCTGGGAGGCTGAGGAGGAGGATGGATAAATGGCCCTGTGTTCCCTTGGGATTGCTCTTTGGAATGCCTAATTCTGACACCCCTTCACCTTTTGTAATGAAATAATTTTTATTACAGCCAGAAGAAGAGCCTAAAGAGGAAGCAGCACCAGCCAAGCCCGTGGTGGGAATTATTTACCCTCCTCCAGAGGTCAGGAATATTGTGGACAAGACTGCCAGCTTTGTAGCCAGGTAAATTACACTGATCTGGTGATTCCAGGGATTTTCATGCTTCTCCTCTTCAGTGCAGTTCCAGGAGCTGAAACAGGTCACAGTCCTGTGGTTTTATGTGAAGGATTTTAAGGTTTGAGTCTGGACCAGTGAGACTGGAAAAGAAACAACAAAATTCTACTGAAGAGGTGTAAGACACACTAGAGAAACTGGTAGTAAATGAATAAAATTCTTGTTGAAATGTGTAGTGTGTGCTGCAATAACCAGTAATAGGACCTGTTCTGATTGATCTGAGGAGGAAAACAAATCCTAGCTGGAAAGGGAAGCCTTGTTACAGGTGCTGTAGCCAAGAGGAGTCGTGGCTGTGTTTTAGTGCTGAAATGTTTTGGCTGTTGTGAGTTTAAGAGAATCACCAAATGCTGCTCTAGTCAAAGATACTTATTGTGTAACTCATCTCTCAAATGCTGCCAAGGAGTGTTGGCTTCCTCTGAGGATAAGGAAGGGACTGTGTTTATCCTTGGGGATTGTAAAGAGGAGGAGGTGGAGTGTCTAAACAAGACTGGGAGGTATCCAGGGAATATGAAGAGAAACACACTGTGGCAGCAGTGAATTTTCCCAAACTGCCCTAAAATAAACAGCTCGTGCTTTGAGTGGGAGGAGTGGATGGTACCTGGACTGGGGCTCTCCTAAATGTAGCACTCCAGGGTGGTCAGTCCCTGTAGAGCCTCATGGTTACCATTTTTTTTTCCTTATATGATCTTTCTTGAACTGAAATTAGTCTTAAAAACTTGTTAGTAGAGCAAATAAAATTAGTTTAGTAAGTAACTTGTGAACTTCATCCAGTCAGTCCAGGAAATGGCCTTTGTGTGCAGCCAGGTGAGATTGTGGGACGCTTGTGAGTGTGAGTTTTTAACTGCCTTAAGGAATATTCACATTAGAGACAAAATTAGGAGGACAAATGCCTTTAAGTCGTGTGTATCCAGCTGGCTGCTGTGTTGGGTGTGAGTTCCTGAGGGATAAACTCCTCCCATGTGCAGAGAAAACTCTCTGCTGAGGGGCTGATGCCTCAACACATCTCACTCTGAAAGAGACATTTCCATTTGAGTTGATGCCCATTCATTTTAACAATTTCTCTTTTTCATCCCCAGAAATGGGCCAGAATTTGAAGCCCGAATTCGTCAGAATGAGATAAATAACCCGAAGTTCAACTTCCTGAACCCCAACGACCCCTACCATGCCTACTACCGGCACAAGGTCAGCGAGTTCAAGGAGGGCAAGGCCCAGGAGCCCTCAGCTGCCATCCCCAAGGTCATGCAGCAGCAGCAGAGTGCCCAGCAGCAGCTCCCACAGAAGGTGAGTGTTCCTTCCAACACTGTGGTGAAGAACTTGGCTGCTGAGGGGCGTTGGCACAGCCTGGGGTTGAGCAGGAGGCCTGAAAGTCAAGAAGGAGGAGTTGGTTATACGTTTGCCAAAAAGACAGCAGTGAGAGGCTTGGAGTTGAGCATCTGGGGCTTTGTTTTGATGCAGATGTGCATCCCCCAGGTGCTGGTAACTCAGAGTTGTGTTTGAAAAAGCTAATATGTAATTGGTCCATTTTAATTACTGTGTATTGACTGGTACAGTGCTTACACTACCCATCACTTGGGCTGGATGTGTTTAGGCCTCTTGCCAGAGGCATCCCTTGGAGTTCAGTTTGGGCCTGTTGCACACACTGTTTTGTAGAAGCATTTCCTGCCAGAAGGATCAACTTCCCCTTAAAAGATGGAGTACAAAATGCTGCTCATCTTGTTCAGCTGTGCCTTTATATGTGCTGGGTGGGAAAAGGGTATGGACTGAATCCAAGGCTTGGCATGGCCAACAGCCAACACTGTGTGGTTCTCATGGTCCTGGAGGGTTAAAGTGAAGTCCTGATGGTTTCCAGTTTTGTTTGCTGTTGGAGCAACCATTTTTCTATAATATAAATACAGGTGGCCAGATAGACCCTGTGGTACTGATTTTTCTCATCTGTGCAGCTGCCAGGATATCTTGACTGGTGTTGCTTTCCTGCAGCAGCTGAAGGAAAGATGGATTCTCCTGAGTGTTTTTGAATGGTTCCTTGCAGGAATTCACTGAGCTGTGTCCGTTCCCTCTGCAGGTGCAGGCCCAGGTGATCCAGGAGACGGTGGTTCCGAAGGAGCCGCCCCCGGAGTTCGAGTTCATCGCGGACCCTCCGTCCATCTCCGCCTTCGACCTGGACGTGGTGAAGCTCACGGCGCAGTTCGTGGCTCGGAATGGCCGCCAGTTCCTCACTCAGCTCATGCAGAAGGAGCAGAGGAACTACCAGTTTGATTTCCTT